ACTTGTCTCCCTTCTTGTATATGGGGGTGGATAATCAGTGACTTACACTGTAACATCCTCATGTATGTCTCTTGTAGCTGAAATGATAATGTCCAGGTCAGGCAATTGAAATAAAACCCACTCTAAAGTCCTCCTATTGATGAATTAGATTAAATAAATTTCCCTCGCTGGGAGGCGTCTTTCATATCTTAGCAACTGCGTCGGTGGCATAGCGGCTAGGACTCTCGCCGACCATGCACATGGTCGCTGACGCACACCCGATATCAATGGTCGGCTTGCTGAATTTGGGCTACCGATATCACATGCTGAAAATTCCATACTTGTACCGAAAATACGGTGTGGAGTCAATCGGCACTTTCCAGATATTTGGGAAATTCAGTAATTTCCACCTGTAGAGGAATTAGAGCGGATTCTCAAAGTTGTATTGTGCGTCGGTGGCACAGTGGTTAGGACTCTCGCCGACCATGCACATGGTCCGGGGTTCGAACCCCTGCCGGCGCACACCCGATATCTATGGTATGCCTGAATTTGGGCAACCGATATCCATGCTGAAAGTTCCACACTTGTACTGAAAATACGGTGTGGAAATCAAGCTGTAAATCAAAAAATCAAAAAAAAAAAAATATGAAACACAAACTTCTTACTGTAACCTTTTCAATATCGCAATAGAACCAAATTCTGTGATTCATTCCAGTGAGGCGTTCCTCATCATGAAGTACGTACTTGTAATGTAGCCCAATGTGACTCGGTATGGGTACAATTTTTTTAAAGAAAGCAATAAAGCTATCTCCCTGATAGGTACTTCTAGCAAGTAGACGGATTGTTTGCAAACTTAGGTAGTTTATTTAATAATTCTCTTTTAATTTCATTGTGCATGTTTTATTTATGTTGGATAATGTAATGAAAATACATGACAAGAAGTTACGAAACGAGATCTCTTTGTTGACTTACGAGTCCTTAAATATATTTCTATTATATCTTCTATTACTTCCATATGCATACTTGTTTATATTTAGTATCCCTATGTAGTTATCTACTCAAAAGTAGTATATTATTTCAGACAAAAAATATGAAAGTCTTAACCACCACGGGATATACAGACTTGGATGAAACCTAAACAGAAATCATTTTCATTCTGTGTAATGAATCAACGAAAATAATTTGATTATGATTGATGGAAACTATTTTCTTACCATGAAATGTGATAGCTGGAAAATAGAATCATCACTTGTGATTAGCATAAGTTGGTATATGATATACATACTGGTGTTTATATCATATTTCATTGGAAACATGTACTTGAATAAGTGCTATGTACTTATATAAGTAAGGGAATATTCACATTTAATCCTCTCGGTACACATTGTTTTCCTTCCTGGCATTTGTTTTGTTTTTAGCTGTGGATCTCACTTCATACTAGATTGAATCTAACCAACAGATTATCTGTTATTACATCTTTACATAAATTTGAGATTTTGTACATGGTTATTTTGTTAGCTTAAATAACAAAGTAAAGGCATCTCTACTCTTTATAATCATTCGCGATAAAGTTAATTGGTCACCGTTTACTTGGATGTTTACTTCTCTTTCGAACTACATAACGATAAAATCCTGCTGACTAACGGAGTCCTAAATATAGAAATTTGCACAAAAAGTCCAGCAGCTCAGCGGGAGAAAGAATTAGTAAATGGGGAGTAGTGCAAATTTAATGGATTTGTGAGTTCATGAAGAATAAATGTATTTGCACCAATGAACCATTTCACCAAGGGTTTCCACTCATCGATCCCAGCATCTCGACAACCCCAGCCAGGCAGCCTATATCACCCTATGTGGCTTACTGAAACTAACAGTCAAAGATTTCACAGACTGATGCCACTTTTCGAATCGACCATCCTTCATTCCCTCCCACTCTAATATTATATTACCCAGCACTGGTTGACGAGGAAGGTGATGGCTTGGTATGTGCTGCACATATCGCAGACATCTCGATCGATGCAGCTACACAGTCATGGATTTATTGTCCTCTTTCCCTAATACCCCATGCCTGAACTCAATATTATCCACCATACTACACAACTTAACATGGGAAATAAAAATCAAACATTTGTGACCAATGACAGTTGGTCTTCTTATGTCTTTCACTTTCAATGGTCACGTCTCACACCCGTGAATGTGAACTGCTACGCGGTACACACGTCTAAGGCAGAGATGGCATTAGTTGGCGAATCCTACACGAACGTTTTGCATCCAGGTTGAGAATCAGTCCATTAGCATCAACGTGCTCAACCACCTCACTCCCCCATCTATGAACAGTAGTCCTGAGGCGTCATCTTACATTTGAATCACATGCTAAACATACTAAAACTTCTGCTCAGGGTGTTCAGAAGACTGCATTTTGTCGGTCGGTCGGTTTTCGACATAGAACTTTGCACATATGTGCGGCAGTTCAAGTCGCCACAATCTATGTAGCACGCAAAGCAAGAGAAGAAAGTAGAAGAAATGCATAATATAGACAGTAAACAGAGGTGTGAGACAAAGGAGTAGTAATAACGAAGAACGAACAGTTTCATCGGAAATCATAAGTTACAAGGAGTGGATGCATCTGCGCCACTGAGAACGATTTTGAGCCATGTCACCAATTGTTTCCGACCATTGGTTTTTACCGTCCCGAGGACTCCAACCAGGAAGTCTACATCTCCCTACGTGACTTAGACTAACTGTTGTGGATTCCATTGACTGGTGCCAAGTTTTTGTTTGACCGCCGCTAGCTCTTTTCGAGCCTGATCCTATGTTAGTCAGCTAACATTGACCGTCGAGGAAGGCGATGACTAGGCATACGTAACACATGTCCTAACCATCTCAGTCGATGTAATTTCACAGTCTCATCGATTGATTTCCCCGCCTTACCTAGTACTCGACGCCTAACCTCAATATTGCTCACCTTATTATACCACTTCACGCGGGAGATGGAACGCAGACACCTATGATCGAAGACAGCTAATCTTTTCATGTCTTCTGCTCTCAATGGCCAGGTCTCACAGCCATAAAGGAGGACGGAGCGGACTGTTGAGCAGTACACACGCCCTTTGGTCGATAGTCGGATATCACGTCTACGCCAGAGACGCCAGGTTACGCAGTCTCTCTTTGTGCCTGAAGTTAGTACTGACTAGGAACGGATGATTATCTGAACAGAACTGTAGAAGACGATCACCGTTGTCAGTTCGTCGGCAGGGAACTCCACACACACCACCTACACACTTCTCAGTCTGGCACAACTTCCTTACTTCGGCATTGAAGTCGCCTGCTATAACAACGATATCATTCTCTGGCGTCTGTTTCAGAAATTTTTTTAATTATTGGATGAAAGAGTGTTTAACAATACCAATGTTACTGACTGTATTTCTTTATTTCATTGTAAATTTGCACTTTCTTGAAAATTGTGTATGAATATTAATGGTTATTTTTGTTGTCTTTACGATCACACATTAGTCTTCATCTCGATTATCGAAGTGGTTGTGATTGTAGTTTTCTAAAAATCAATCAGCTGATTAATTAATGATATGATCAACTGCATAGAATGGACATGAATTTAAAGTTCACCGTAGAACGTGAAATAACCTTTATGTTTGCTCCATGTGTTAAAGTTCCAACGGTATTGATGTTTGGAATACATTTTGATATAAGTATTCATTTATTTCTACTGCAAAACAAATCGTCTATTTTTATTTAAAGAAATGTAAGCATTAGCTGTTGAGATTAACCAGTAGAATACAATTCTAGTCTTAGAAGAATCTACTTTATAAAGCTATGAGTTACATTTAATTTTCTAGGTTGAACGATATCATCTGGTTGATTAGGTTGAAAGTACATTATTATTCCATAGGTTTCCGAGTGGAAAATAGGGCTTTAACAGAGAATTTCGATTTCACTCTGTCCTCTGCAGTCTATTTTTAGATGGCTCCAAGAGTCCCCACGAGGTTTCATTTCCTCTTCACACGATGTTTTCCATGTCATTCTCGAACGCACAACTTGTCGCCTCCCGTTCGTGTTTCACTTAAGGTCTGGAGTGTGATGTTAGCGGGTTTAAAATTTGAAGTCAATTTTCTTAAGAAGTCAGTTTCTTAAGGTAATAAGTTGCAGCCGCTTAAAGTTACTTTGAAAAGTTCGTTGAATTATGAAGATATTTTATGTTACTCTAGGTGCAAATTGAACGGATGCAGCCTTGTAGGAGCTTGCAGAGAGCTGCCATCTAAGTTCACAGCAGTTAGTGATAATTCATCAGAAGTGACTAATGTCTTCTTATTTAACTTTATTATACATGCGCTATTGAGTGTAATTCTGTTTGACTATAATATTTCAAGAAATTATTGGTTGATTTAAAATATGCAGACAAAGAAAAACAGACAAGATCTTCTGAGTATTCTGAGAAAAAATTTGAGTATATCTGTCATGTGATTCTTCCCTGCCAAGTGCAAGATGATACTGCAGGGCTAGCTTGCATGAATTCCTAGTTTGATGATAAGTAAATAAAGTGGTTAAGGTGTTTCACTAACCCTTTCGCCGACTAAATCTAAGTATGTCATTTTACATTTTCTGGCTTGCATTATATTTGGCGAAGGTAGGACATCCGGACATCCAACGCAGGATGTATGTAATGATTCACTGTTTACCATTCTAAAGATATGAAATATAATTATAGAAGTAAATGATATGAAAATATGTTAAGTTTTAGACCAGTAGTGACGTTGTTCACTTGTAGTAGGTGTAGTGTTATGCAAGACAATACAGGTCAAGATCAAAACCCAAATAATTCTGCTGAAGAAGCTGTGGTTTACACAGTGAAATGATTAGAAAAATCTTGTTTTGATTTTTTCTTAAACACGCTAGGATTGTTTTAAATAATTTATAATTAATTATTCAGTCTGGTACAGAGCTCAAATTATTCCCAGAAATTCGTAACATCTACGGTCTGGAAGCCTACAAGTGTCCATTATTTTGTTAGAATATTGTAGTACAGGAGACATATGAGTGAACTGGTACTAGGAAAAAATAACCCAAATATTTCAGGGTAGCCTAAGGTGAGTGTATTCCACGGCTAATTTTGCTCTTTATATCCACATGCTGCAGAAATCTGTGTTTTAAATATTTTGAGCATCTTAACTAACCTGTTGAGCCAAAAGATACAGTTTCCACTCTTTTTTTTATTATGGCGTAGTTTTATTACAAGGAATACTTTTGTAAGTAGATATCACGCTTTTACTTTTCCTGCTTATAATAGTAAGGCCTTATTCATCTCTTTACAAACATAAACACCGACCACTTGGTTTATTTATGAAGAAACACGAGCTAGTCCATGCATTTTGTGCTAAGATGTCATGATGTAAACAAGACTACTTCAGTGACATAAACACACAATTGTTCTGTTTTTACTTATATATTAAATTATGTGGCTAGACACATATGTATATATATATCTATATATTTCACACAAGAGTATGATTTGATGAGTAGTATGTACGGACAGACCGTGAATGAAATCAAGTCTTATTATTGTTATAATTGACCAATGAGAAGGCAACACCTAAGACTTTATAAATAAATGTTGTTGAAATGAGTGGGATGAATATTTATTATTTAAGAACATATCTCAAGCACAAGAATAATCATATATACGAACATTTTTGGGTAACGCCTGATTTACGATTATTTCCTATAAACATGAGACATATAATAATGCAACATGTACACAACAATTTAATTTAATTAGTGTGAATAACATTATTGCATCTTACAGTGGAGTATTCTGTCATCTACATATGACATCATTATCACCATCTTTTACAACTAATCAATAGCTCATGCTTAATAAAGTAGCCACTCTCGGTTCAAGCACACAAATTCCACGTGGAACTCTACCAAGTAATGACAGGAATTCAGACAAAGTGAAAATGCCATTTTTTCGTAAATCTCGGTCAACTTCAAAATCACGTCAGAATGCAACATCCTCAGCAATTTGGAGTAACAACAACAACAACAACACTGTTGTCAATAGTAGCACTTATACAAGTAACAATCCATCAGAACCAATAGAATTATCATGGGAACAGGTGGTATCAACTGATGGCTTTGTAAAACATTTTCTTAAAGTATTTTGTGAAAGAGTACGTAAAGGTGATCATTTTAAAACAATTCGAATTATTGGATCAACAACTGCTGGATTGTGTATTAAAGAGCTAGTTGAAACATACTATTCTAAGTATGGAACACGTAATGACTTTTATTTATGCGAAATAATCGGACGTATTCAGCCAATTTCCAATGTGAAATCCAGTACACCTGTATGGTCATTTAGCGAACAAAAGGTTCGTCGAATTGATGCTAATGAAAATATTATCTCATTATTGCAAAATACCAGTCCTGGATATGGATTATGCAGAAGATTAGAGCTTAGACCTGTAGATGGTAGAATAAATACACCTATGAGTGAAAGTGGGAATTTAACCTCTTCACAAGTTAGTATACGTGATCCTGTAACTTCACCTCAGCTACCATTAACCTCACCACGGTCTGGTACACCTGTAAATGGGATTACTCTGTTTAAAGATTCACGTCGTGGTAATTTCTTCAGGGGTGTACAAATTCCACAAGGACCGCATTTTCTTTTGTTACGTGGTAATCAACCAAATCGTGATATGCTATTACATGATCTTACTAAACTTATCATTGACAATACAATGCAATCTTTTATGACAGTTGGTTATGGTAAACACGCGGATATTCGACTTTATCCTATACCATCTGAAGTACGCTCCACTGAAGGAGGGTGCATCATTGCAAAAATTGTTGGATATAATATTACATTAAAGACATCTGAATCATCAGTAAAACGAGGACTGGTGTTTCTTGAACCCTGTGATCCAAATGATAATACTGATACTGCGGATAAAACACCAAATAATTCTCGCTCTAAGTGCGATAATACTGAGATATACATTAATAACGATTTAATTAAACCATTGTATGCTGACACCTTTCAAAGGCGTGAACTTCGACCTGGTGACCTTATCTTTTTTGGATCACATAAGCGTGGTTACATTTATCTATTCAAAGATCCAAGATGTATACCAGATTATAAATTAGAATTGCCATTCACAACTAATCAAAATTTTTTTGATAGTGGCAATAATAAAACACATGGGAATGTGAAAATTCTTAACGCTTCTACTAGTACTGATGAAATTGTCACACGAGCGAGTACTGCTGTTATCGCTACTTCCAGTGATTCTAATGATAATGGTTGCAATGGTGCTGGTAATCCTGATATAAAGAAACAGTATTCATCACTAGTTCAACGATTTAACAGTCCGTCGTCGACATCTACACTTGAAGAAATGAAAGATGAAGACATACGATCGATTCCAGGAATTAATGAATTAGAATGGATTATACAACCGTTACTTGTTCAACTGAGACTAACAGATGGGACCTCTGTATCATCCTCTTCAATTTCACTGTTGTCATCATCAAACTCACAGAAAGTTGTAAATTTGGATACATTAGGTACCTGGGATGCTATGGAAACCACAATATTGGAACCATGGAGATCAGCTTGTCTATTAAGTCTACTGATTAGAGCTATTGGATTAAATAAACTGCGCAGTAGCACCATTACCACTACTACTGGTAACAGTGATAGTAAGACACTGAAGAATAACTACATGGAAGATCTGATTAAACAAATTACATCAATACTATCTAATTATCAAAAGCGTGCCGAGTTGGTAAGTTGGAAAATTTCCCTCTTGTAAGATTTTATGTACCACTGATATATACACATAAATATTTTAGCCAAGCTACGTAATGACTACTGTCAAAGTTTGCTACATTTTGACAGTGTTGGGATATTTTGCAGAACTAACGGACTTCATTTATTGACTTAGTATTGACGGTTAGGTCTTTAGATATGCTTTAAAATACTAAGCAGTATCTTTACCTGCTGATGTAGACATTCTGGTGGAAAAATTCACCTTCTCTTTTAACGTTACTCGCTTTTTGGCGGATCTTTCTACTGACTCTCTGAACAAAGTCTTCAGAGGAATTTGTGTAATATTTCTGCATAGCATAGTTAAGTGTCTTACTATGATGACTGCAGGATATGCTGTACTGCTGATTTAGACTAACTTTCAAATTACTTTATCATTTTTCCAATCGATGTTTTTGTACTCCTTGGGTTCTGAGCTGAACATAGGCCTTCTAATTTTTAAAGTTTCAGCAGTGGTGTTATTGTTTACATCCAACCGTCCGTCTTTTCCAGCCTTACTACTAGTTAGTATACTAGTGGAGATTTAGGAGTGCGCCGGCCAGAAATCCAACTCATACCTTCTGAGTGGCTGGCGTGTATTCCGATGTAGTAAATCATTCTTACTAAGAATGATGACAGAAGATAATAATGATAAAATTCACTCTGGTAATATAGACGGATTCACATTTATGTTTAGGCCTGAACAAGCAAAGCGATGAATTTTTGACAAATATTTCGCTTATACAGCCATCTATGGTTGATGGAAGTTGGTTAGCTGACTTCATTCAGCATTGACTAAAGTTCATTTGAATCTGAGGGAGAACATTCATTCTCGCACTGGTCACAGTCAAACCGTTTCCTTTAACTGTATTGCTTTTCTAATGAATATATTTTCATTGATCCTACTATTCTAACTTATCATTTCATTTTAAGCACAAAAAAACAACGTGTTTAATACTTACATCGATTTTATTTGTTGTTTTCATGATATATTCAGGATACCAATTATTAAACAGTAGTGCTACTTGAAATAGATGAGGCAGAAAAGCTTAACGTGTTAATACCGCGTTCTTAACTCTTTTACTTATGACATCTAAAATGTATGACTATGAATGGATTTTATTTCACTAAATTAGTGTGCGACTTGATTTAATGCCATCTTAGTATCTCAGCGTCTATAGCTGTGATATTATTATCCTGTCGGTAACTGGTAATGATTTTCTAAAAGGAAAATACATAATACCCACCGTGATAAATTACCAGAAATCTTCTAAATTGCTGAAGATACAGACTTTGTATTGAGTAGTATAAATAGTATCGACCAAGTGTTTGTATCTGTGGATTTTAAGAAAAAAATTATTTTTGTTAAGAAGAAGCATTACAGTCGATAAATTTATTATAAAACATGTCCTAAATGAAAAGATGAAAAACAAAAGTAATTTATTGTGTAAATTTTAAATATTGAAAGTACACCCATTCATTTTTTTTCGTATAATGTTTATTCTCATATAGCCATTCACATTCAGTTTCTATTAAGTTAACAGTTTGTTATCCAAAAAAGAGTTTCAAGACTTATTCCCCTTTATGAAGCATAAACAACAATTTTTGCAGGATACCGTAGTACTATCGTTCGTTTCATCGGCTTCTCATCAGCTGAGCACAGCTTGCAATTGTAACATGATGCCAAATATCAGGAGACTCCTGGTAAGAAATAACTGAAATATTTAGAAATGGCCTTCACCGATGAATGACATCAGAGAAGAGACTCTCTTGAAGTGTCCACGGAATGCTCCTCACTGAATCGTGACAATTGGTGATATATATATATACATATATATATATATATATATATATATATATATATAAGGCATTTACAGTCATTTACTGCTCTCTATTTTAAATATCCGATGCCTTATACACAAAAGGAAGCCACCGCCATGCATCGCTGTGAACTAAATCTTTGTGATTTAAAGAGTTCCACCTTATTCTTCTCCTCTTCACTATGGAGGTCAGCATGATTTAACCTCTTATTTAACAGTTAAATAAGTACACATAAGCATTATTATAAAAGGTTTTGTACTTCGTTTGGTTATATATGAAATACATATAGACGTTTTACGAGTAATGAATCTTTCCTGTACACTATGTTTCCATTTCGTTTTATCCTTTTTTGTGTGTGTACTAATGTTATAACCAGCACCTTGGTGTAGTCCCCATTTTCATTGTTCATCTTCGGAATTGTTCGGTGTCAATACCATTATCCCCTTTTTCCTCTTTTTTTTTATTCCTTCACGTTCCCAGTGGAACATAGAGCTTCAAGCTAGCAGTGTTTATTTTTACAGGATGGGGTTGCTAGCCTCATGCCCAACCTTTCCTCTTTACCAGTCTTATTACTGGCTTAACGAGGTAAAGGAGTGCGTCGGCCGGGGATCGAACCCAGGGCCAAATGCATGGTCGGCTAGCGTCCAAACCGCTATACCACCGACGCCCTTTTTCCTCTGTATATGTCTAATTGCCTTCATAAGAAAGTCTGGTTTCAGCTGTGATACGATACGATTTTTCCAGTCGTTTTACAGATAGTATCGATTTGTGATAAAAAAAAGATGCAAGTCTATATGAAAAATATTCGTGAGATATGAAAAGAAGCATAAAATGAGTGCAAGCACTTTCCGTGGAATAGGAAAATAAGAAGAAAACCTTTTGAAGTTACGCATTTACTTGTCTTAAGAAGATTTTAAGATAAAATTTTTTGCTCAGTGTCACAATAAGTCCGACCTTGTGTTTTGAGTAGCAACTTATCTTTCCACTCGGTATGATACTTCAAAAATGAATTAAACTTTGTAACTGTTGTTTCGTAACCTGACATTGTCAGAGTGATATTTGAACACTGGGAAAAGTGATGGGTCTAAAATCTTTGAATTATTTTAGTCAATAAGAATAAACAAACGTTTTTGCTTGTCTACGAAAATTTTGTATCTAATCTTAACACTGCTAGTTCTACTATTTCAACCGGGTACTTGCTATGCTACCATGACGCAGTTGACGATCTAAAGCATGTTGCTAGGCTTTTTATTACAATACATACATCCAAATTCTAGTTTGCTTATATTCGTAAGTATTTGAATTACTTAGCTACACGCTTTACACGATCACTTCACGTACATCTGCGGTTTGAAACTTGTTTGAAATGAACCACTATTTATGTATTTGGGTAACTGGATAGCTGACAGATTTCCTTTATTCTAATTATTATTGCAAATCTGTAGATCGATTGGGCATTCCGTTTGACTGAGCTAAGTTACATGGTATTGTTTTGCATTGTGGTACACTGTTATTTGGTGCTATGAGTTAGTCGTCATTCACTCACGACAATTAAGACTAGAGAGGTATACTGCTTTTTTGTCTCTACCAATTCGCATTAATAATCTAGTACTATTATGGATAAGTCGTGACCTAAGCAGCCTGCTAACGGATTTTTAACTTTGAAAAGTAGTGACAGATGCTTAAATTCTGTAAATGTTACAGGTACACCTTACGGATGAGTATCATGTGGCATAAGACATAAATCTTTAACCACTTCCAGTTTAACTACTCTAATATACAGCATAGCTGTCGTACTTCAATAATGTCTTTTACCTAAAGTAGCTGCTCACCGAAGCTTTTGAGTAGGGTGGGATATACCATCGTACATTTCATTTACCCAGTGACTAATTAATCACTCAATGTTGTTGGTGTTGAAGATGGTGCAATTTGCAAAATAACATGCCTACTTTTTAATGAAATTTTGTCAGCCACCAGCTGTACAGAGCTCAGGCAGTCTCTCAAACAAATAGTTAACGCATTTCGCCAATACAGAATAGGAGCTTGTGTGTAACGATCTTGAATACATTCCAAATGTGTTCAGAATTTTTGATCATGACATTCCGAAAACGTTGCATTGTTTCAGCACCTTCATATAGCAGCTCCATATTGTTCGCCTACTCTGTAAATTGACTTCGTGCTTTCTGTTCAAATATATATGTATAAAAGTTGAAAGGGTGACGAAGCAAAGACTAACAGGGGTAGATAACAATATGACAAAAGCTCTGTTTTTTTTTCAGTTTCTTTCTGAACATAGATTTATACACACACTCCCCAGGTGTCATCAATGGAGACGAAACATTTGTTTAAATCTCCATTTTCAACGGTTAGTTTTACTATATGTAAATCTACAATGGAAGAAAGTATACATTACACACTATTCTTCACTGAGGATTTTGAAAATACTATTTCTGGTACAAACGGTCTATTATGTAGAATGAAGTACAAAAACACATTAAAAATGAGAATTGATCATAATGTTTACATTGACATTTTAGCTGAAATAGTAGTGTAATGTTCAAAGATATCACAGATATTCTGATAAGTTCTCTCAGTAGCCTATTCCATTATCTATTATTGTTATTATTAGTATCATTCTTAAGCATTTGAACAACCGTATACATAGGCATGTAATAAAAACCAGTGAAAACTGAAGCTGAAAAGGAGAAAGCTTGAGTTATAGGATTAAACGAGCTGTCTAATGGTTACTAGTTCAATACTATACCCACCTAATGAAGAAACCTAGACTTCTCATCACTCATTGTCACGTGAATTCGCCTAAATGTGTTATATATATGTTGTTGTAAATACCATATGAATGATATCCTAACATTTTCATACAATCCATTTAAAGTGTATCACATTATCGGTACGATTAATCTAAAGCAAAAATAACAGACGTTTAATGGCAGTTATACAAGTATTGAACGATGTATGAAACACAGAAATAATCGTTATATTTTAATTAAGTTAACTTTGTTTCAACTTGCCTGTAGAAGATTTAAAAAAGAAATCGATATAGATTAAGGTCAATGAGACATATCGTATGTCGATATTTAATATACATATTTTCATATAAAACTTACTGAAGATATTCAGAATCTTCCAAAGCAGAATTCA